GTAGTTAGTAGTTAGTAGTTAGTAGTTAGTAGTTAGTAGTTAGTAGTAGTAGGTAGTAGGTAGTAGGTAGTAGGTAGTAGGTAGTAGTTAGTAGTTAGTAGTTAGTAGTTAGTAGTTAGTAGCAAGTGGCAAGTAGCAAGTAGCAAGTGGCAAGTAGCAAGTAGCAAGTAGGTAGCAGGTAGCAGGGAGCAGGGAGCAGGTAGTAGTAGTAGTAGTAGTAAGGTAGTAGTAGTAGTAGTAGTAGTAGTAGTAGTAGTAGTAAGGTAGTAGTAGTAAGGTAGTAGTAGTAGTAGTAGTAAACGTTGACGTTGACGTTGACGTCAACGTTGACGTAGGCCAATAGAGATCTAAGCTTTGATTCTTTTCTAGGGCCCCAAGTTGGGACGCACCCCCCCTTGCATAATTCTTTGGCGCAACAGTTGTTTTTGAAAAACGGCTTGTTTGATCAGAGTCAAGCAACCCTTAGGAAGGGTTTGAAAGCGAAGCAGTAGCAGAACAACAGAACGCCAAATCAATAAACAAAGTAACGAGCTTGATTTGAAAAAACGTCCTGTGCGTTTTTCTTTCTCACCCACCACAAACTATTCAAGATGTGGCAAAAAACTTGGGAGCATTTTCACCAGAATAGAGGGCGCGATTGGTTATCGGAAGAGGTGCTTTGTAGCCTGCGCGCTGTTGCTGTGGCAGGGTGCCACTCCAGAGTGCTGCTGCGGGATGTTTGGAGTTTTGCTGCTGCTGCTGTGTGCGCTTTGGAGTTTGGGTGCTGATGCTGCAGGGTGGCTGCAAGGCATTGCTGCCAAATGTCTATGGCAGTGTGCGCTTTGGGTCTTGGGTGCTGGTGCTGCACGGTGCCGGTGCTGCTGCCAGATGTTGATGGCAGCCTGCGGTTTTGGAGGCTAGGTGCTGGTGCCGCTGCTAGGTGTCTATGCCAGGGCCTATGCTAGGGTAATTGTTGTTTTTCGCCCTTAACATAAGTATGTGAATGTCCACTACGAAATGGGGAGGGAGGGTTCAGGTACCTTAGGTACCTTATAAAACGGCTCATGCCCCCCCATGCGTGACGTCGAACCCCCCATTTCATAGTGAAAACAGGTTTGTTAGCAGACTGTTTCAAAAGTTGTATATAGATGTTCCAAGCGGGTGAAGATAGAGGCATGTTTGGGGAGTGTGAGATGCTTGCTTCAGTTCATTTACAGGTTTGTTCACAGTTATATGGCTATATAATGTTATATATATTCACATATGTAATTGTAATCGCATATATATTTATATATATATACATGATATGCATCGATTAGCAATGACTAGCTATGATTAACCTATTTCACCAGTCTCCTCCACTGGCCAGCACTATGCCAAGCCCCAGCCTTTGGAGCATGACCTCTCCAACCATCCTCAAGAGCCCAATAAAATGCTTCTCCCAACCTCCTGAAGCCTAATAACATAGTATATCCAAGCAATTTCTTCACTGTACCCTTCGAGTCCCACCCTTTACCCCTCTCCTCCACTGGGCCAGCACTATGCCAGACCCCAGCCTCTTCCAGCCTCTTTAAAATGACCCCTCCCAACCTTCCCCTCAGGCCTCAGCCTCTATAAAATGATTCTCGCAGTCGCAACCCCCTAAAGCGCTATAAACATGTATGCCCAAGCACTTCGTTCCTTGCAGCCTTCTTTTCGCTTACCATTTAACTCGATGAGTGTCTAAATCTAGGCAGATACGTCTCTAGCCAAACTTGGCATGTGGTCTGACAGTTTGTGGAAAAAGTCCGCTCATCCTGAATATTCCAAATTTGAGACGTCTATCAACAGAGGCTTGAGACGTCTATAGCATCTATCCCCTCATTTCATAGAAACCAAAAAACCTGACACCTGTCAATTTATTCACGGTCAGAGGTTGCCCTAACCAATTCATTTCTATGAAATGAGGGGGTAGGACCCGCCCCCAGAATTCACACCACTATCCCCTAACTATTTTTACGAATCTTTCCCTGAAGGAAGGATCCCATATGGTTGATTTCTTTGCAGCTTAGGACGTGGTTT